TTTTGTTAAATGAATTACTTTATGATTTTCTTGTCTTTGCATAAGAACAAGTTTTGTTATATCATCATCATGAATTTTTTTACGAAAATCATTTAATAACATTTCACGTTGATTTTTCATTGTTTCAATTTTTTCATTTAATAATGCAAGACGAGTTATTTTTGGTTTATTTGCTTCATCTGAATAATTCAAAAACAAAAAATTAGAAAAATATTTTCAATTAAACAAAAAGAAAATAGATTTTTTATACCATCAAGTTCAGTTATAATAGGTAAAGTTTTTTCTAATTGTTCAAGTGGTAAATTAAGAATTTTTAAATGATCAATTATTGTTGTCATATGTCGATGTAATTCAATATTACTTTCATTTGCTTGTAACATCATATCACGAATAGTTTTTAAATTTAATTCTAAATCTTTATATTCTTTATTAGATTTTATAGAATCATTATTTTCTTCAAAAATTTTTAATAATTGTTCAAATTCATCAACTTGTTCAGTTACTTCATGATGTTGACTATTAAGTTCTACAAAAAAAAATTTATATAAAAAAAGAAAAGAAACCTAAAGATATTTATAATTCTATGCTAGAAGTTTAAAACTCATAAAATAAATCGAAAAGTAATTTGACAAAATGCTTGTTAATTTTTCCGTCTATGCAAGACGGCTTGCAGAAATTTGATAGCATAGATATCAAAATTTTTGTAGGACTTCTGATTTAGAAGCTAAGAGTCAATCTATTAGAGGCCTATAAATTAAGTTCGGACGAACTTTAGCGCGCTAAAATTTATCCAAAATAAAAGTGACTGAACGAGCACCGTCCAAACTTAAGATATCGGCTCATAACTCGTAAATCAGGAGTGCCAGAAAAACTTTGAAATTATAATCGCAAGCAATACAAAATTTTTATTTCAAACTCAAAGTTTTCGAATTTTCGCAGGTTCTTTTAAGAGACTGAAAAATGAATGAACATTTTGTCAAATTACTTTCTGATCACTCGTTATCTGCTATCCTATTTGTGTTTAATATATTACCTAAGTTTTTCCTTCTCAAATAGGTATACTATAGTTCTCAACGTAATAACTACGAAATCCGACTCCGGAATCAACCCAATGGATTCTATTCGAACGCGAAAATAAATCTCAGAAGTTTTTCTATATATGATGATCCTATGGTTGAAATACTAATCAATCAGTCAGAGAAATTTAAGATTTTAATCCTAGTATTATTATTTATTGATCAAATTTAAACTCTTTTTTTTGTTTTTACCTAAACACAGAGCAAAAAAATTTCTGAGACTGATGTTTTCATGGAAGTCTCCAATTATATCCCGAAAACTTTAAAATTGTTCATTCTCATCTTATGAACATAAATCTCACTTTTAACGTTTTAAAACCATGGCGCTACCCGTAGAAAAAATATTCTTACATACTCTATGTATGCTATCAATTGATCAGTTGGCGTAGGTATGCTTTCTACTTTTGATGAAATGAGAAGAACGATTGAACGAAAAAGTATACAGAAACTTTTTGAATACATCAGAACCACCTATAGTCATGATAGACAAAGAAAATAAAACCTGGGTTCGATATTGATGGGAAATATTTGTAAAACTCTATGTTGCAAACAGATTTCTATAGTGACGAAGCAAGTAAAGATAAATTTGTTCATAATTTTCCTATCAAGATGGATTTTATACTAGAATCGTGCGGGACAATCCCTAATATAGACATAGAGATTCTTTTAAAATCGATGAAATGATCTTTTGAAAGATCTAAAAACTAGTTTAAACGGAAAATTTTCCCGTATACTTTTGTATTTTCATTATTAATTAAATCCTCATTTTTGAAAAATCGACTTTTTAAACCAAAAGATGTTTTGTATAATACAAAGCCTGTGACAAAATCCCTATAATTTCACTTAGATAAAAGCCATAGCTCTATGCAATAGAAAATTTTGTTAAGAAGTATTCACTCGATAAAACAATTGACTTCAATATTTTTTTTGATACCTCCGTAAAGGAATTTATATGGCTTAGCGCAAAAGTTTATTGGTTCTTCATTTTTTTAGGCCTGTAAAAAAAGAATTCCTTCATTAGTCTCGAACAAAATTTTAATCATCATCATCATCCATAGTGTTTACGTCGTCTGAGATTTACTCACAAAAAAAAAAAAACTGAGATAAAATTTCTAAGACCATATTCATAAAGTACACAATATGATGATTCTAATTCATAGTTTTTTGACTTCTGGAAAATGAAATATTTTATTTTAAAATTCTCTAAACATACGTTGCATAGCTGAAACAAGTTCTTTAGACATATTTGGACGAGCTGTAACAGCAGCACAACAATCAAGTAATTCACGTGGTAAACGAAGATATTCATTATTTAATGGAGCACGATTTAATTGTAAACAAAGCATAAATGTTCTAGAAAATAAATATAAATATATGGAAAAAAAATGATTTATTTTATTTACTCAAGTTCTCGATTTTTATTTTCTGTTAATTCAATTATTTCACGTAAAAGTTTAGCTTTTTCTTCACTATATTCTGATGTAGCTAAATGTGTATCCTATAAAAATAACAAGCAATATTAATTTAAAGTTTTAATCAAATAATTCATTATTTACCAATGGTACTAATTTTTGAAAAATATCTACTCCACATACTTCTGGATCATGACAATCAAATGGTTGTGGTTTAGCAACAATTGCTCCTTGAACAGCTGGTAAACTTGATAATGTTGGTACTTTTTCAAAATAAACACTATCATTATCACGTTTAGCTACTTTATATCTATTAAATTAAAATTTTTCTTTTAATAAAAAACAAAATTCAAAAAGAATTATAAATTAATTTACTTTCCCATAATAACATCATTTGTAAACATATGTGCATCTTTAAATATATTTGTTTTATCTGATGAAATTTTTTCTCCATTTTTCCATGCTTCTTTAAGTCGTTCAACAGCAACTTCATAATAACATACAGCTTGACCATGTTTTTTATTTTCTTCAGCTATTAAACCACAACAATAATATGTTAGAGCTAAATAATATGATAATTTATATGTTAAATAAACACGCCATTCCTAGAAAATAAAGAAATTTTTTTT